GTTTAGTGGTGGTCTTGGCAGTGCTAGGTTAACGGTTGGACTCTATGGTCTTAAAGGTCTTTTCCAACCTAAATGATTCTATGATTCTACACATCTAAACCATCAACTGCAATCATCAGCCATTGTCATCTTTCAATTAAAACCAAGGGAAAGCAAAGGGTGCAAAGCTGCAGGAACATTTAACCCAGTTGGGTCCAAGCTGTTAATCAGGTATTGCACAAAATGCTTACTACCAGTGATGATCTGTGTCTGGGAGAGTTCTTGTCCTAGTCTTGGGGCCCACAAAGTTCTGGACACATGCTTATTTTTAGAAACATTATCAACTCTACTTGGAGATTTAATTTCCACATCAGCATAATCTATTTAGGCATTCATTCTCATGCTGAGGAAAAATTAATTCCTACAAAGTCAGAAAACTAAAAACGCAGAGTTCATCAAAACATCTTCATGTACTCATTAGGAAAAGTTCATAATGAAAGGAAAAAGCCAGTAGTACAGATTAGCTTCTCCAGAGATTTAATTTCCAATTTACTGAGGTCTCTAAAAAGAAAACAAGACTCTGAAAGTTAAACTAGACTTTTCAGCATAAGATTCAAAATTTTAGTCTAGTCTTTGTGGAGAAGGAGTAACTCCCTTTGCATAGTTAGACTAGGTGTCAGTTAGATCTGCTAACATCAATCTGCTGCTCAGAATATCAGAGAGAATTCAGAAAATGCTCCCAAAGTTGCAGTCAGTTATTAGTCCACATCGTGCAACGCAGCAAAATTAGCAGTGTTCCAGCTTGAGCAGAGCAGAGCTTGTGTAAGTAACTTTTACCCTATCCTTTCTGCTTGCGAGATTACACAGGTGCTGAAGGATTCAGAGGGCGTTGTGCTCTGGAAATCCCCAGTGTGGCTTCCCAGGACTTACTGGGTAAAATGCATCTATAGTCCCATTCCTTCTAAGTTGTTCTGAACCTGTACCGTACTGGTGCAGCAGAGGCCTCAGCCCGGTTATGTTTAACGATTGAGAGCTAAGTCCAAATGACATCCTTGAGGTAAAGTTGCTATGGAAGTACTGTACTAATTGTGTTAATACCGAACGAAAAGTGAGTGAAAGCCACAGAAAGTGATTTGGCACTTTGTGGTCAATCATTCTAAATGGTTTACTGAATATTAGCGCTCAAAGTAGGAAACAGCATGTCATTAATCCTATTACAAACACGCTTGCTATCAGCAAAACGTCCACCTTCTGTCAGGACTTAACTTCTGTCTGCGTTTAAAAGCGCA